CCCCCACCCCTCTCCGGAGACTTTGCACGCCTGGTACCTCGGTTGCTCAACAGCACCCGCGGCCCGCCCTGCTTCCCTCCCTCCCTCCGTCCCTCCCTTTCAAGTACGCCGATCATTTGAACGAGGCAGAGGGGGTAAGAAGCCGAGGGTGATGATGATGGAAAAGGAGCGGGCGGGGTGGCGGCGGCGGTGGAAGAGAGAGACGCAGTTTAATGGGATATTCAATATCCTGCAACATGCATTTCGAGCGCTGCACTTCCCGAGACTTAAAAGCTCATAATGTGCTCGGCACTTCCTCCTGCTAATGTCCACAGGGGGTTTAATGCAGGGGCCGATCGATGGGGCTTCTCGGGTGTCCGGGACTTACTTTCTCTCTCTTTCTCTCTGCAAAAATCAGCGGCTGACAGACGGGAAAGGATCAAGAGGGGGGGGCCGAGTGAGTGAAGGGGTAAAAGTGGCCGGGGCGCCTCCTCGCCTCGCCTCGCCCTTTGCCGAGACCCAGACGGTCTCCCCTCTTCCCCTCCCTCGCCCCCCCCTTCCCGGCCGCGTCCCGAGTTTCCCACTCTTCCAGACCTCCCTCTTTTCCCGCGGTGGGAGCCGCGCATTCTCAGGGCAAAAGGAGGAAGGGCAAGCGGCTTCCACCGCCGCGACTGCGCAGCCGTGGAGGCCGGCTCCACCAAAATAGCAGGGCAGGCGGCGTTGCCAAACGATGGGGTCGCCAAAAGCGGTCTCTCCCTCCCTCCCTCCCTCTCTCTTTCTGCGCGCCCTGGCCGAGGATGAGTTTGCAAAGGGGAAGAGCCGGAAGGAGGCTTTCCCAAGCAGCACGAGAACTGTTGGAGGAACTTTGCACAAACCCCCCCCCGCTCCGGATTTGACCCTGGAAAGGGAGGAGGGGAGGTGGGTGTTGCCAGGCCCGCTCTTTCTACTTTTGGACCCCTTCTGGCACAGCTCCGAGTCGGCACGTGATGGGCAGGGCAGAAGGCGCCGCTGCCCCCTCCCGCGCAGCCCCGTCACCCCTTTGGGGGGGGGGGGAAAGCTCGTTCGCCCCCCTCCCTCAGCTAACCTTGAAGGCGGGAGGACAGAAGCCCGGCCAAAAGAAGACACCCCCCAGGCGTGGGGGGGGGGGTTCCTTGCCTTACACCCCAACTCCGCCCTCACTTGGCCGCAGCCATCCAGCTTTGAGGAGCCTCGGGGGCTGAAAGAGACCGGGGTGTCGGCTGTGACAGACGCGCGCGCGCCTATACACACAAACACGCGCACACGTGTATGCCCCCCTGTGGCCCTCCATACCCAACAGACCCCCCCCCCGCTCCCGCCTCTCCGCTTCTACCTTTCGGATTTGGTGAATTTCCGAAACGCCTGCCGGAGATCGTGGAAAGAGCGATAGGTCTGGGGCTCGGCGGAGATGCCTTGCGCCCGAGTGGTGCGCGGTCCGATGTGGGTGGTGGGCGCGGGCAGGACGGACTGACACTTGTGCAGTTTCCGCTTCAGCTCCTGGATCTCCTCGTCCTTCTCCGACAAGCGCTTCTCCAGCTCTTTAATCCGCTCATCTTTCAGCAGCAAAAGCTTGGCAAAGTCCCCTTCCAGCTCACTCATGTTTCGGGGAAGGGGAGGGAGCCGAAGAAGCCGCCGGAGGAGTGAGGGGGTGGGGGTGGGAAGAAGCCCACCGACTCACACGCCTGTGACCCTTCGGCGCTTCAACTTCGGGATCCCGGAGGAGCGGCAAGGGAGAGCCGGGGCAGCGGCAGCAACAACAGCCCGGGCGAGCGCGGAGTGAGTGGAACCTCCAAGAAAGAGAGAGAGAGAGAGAGAGAGAGAGAGAGAGAGAGAGGAAAGGGAAAGGAGGAGGGAGGGAGGAAAGGGGGGGGGAGAAAGTAAGTCCAAAGCAGTTGTGGAGAGATCTGCTGTCACTAATGGGTGGTGTGGTGAGCGGCTTCCTTCGATCCACTTACTGCTGAATGGGCTGTAAATGGAGGCAGCAGGATGAGAGGGGCTGAGATCACTGGAGGGAAGAGAGTCTGAGTGCTAATCTGGAAGCCTCCTTTGGGATTTGGTGATTATCTTTCATTGAGAAAGCAATTAGAGCTGTTCTCCTGCCGCTGCCGCCGCCGCCTGCTGCCCTTGATGCCTACCTGCCTGCCTTGCCTTGCCTGCCTCCCGGATTCACTACTGGGGGAGGGCGAGGAAGTTGCGGGGAGAGGTCTTATGAGAACAGCCAGCCCCTCTCCCTCCCTATCCCAGTGCCAGCCTCATCAAACTCTTGAGCTGGTTCATCAGGACAAGAGTGCTTGCTCTCTCTCTCTCTCCATCACCCATGTGCCCATAAATACACGTGCTAGACAACTCTCTGTGAAGTGGTACCTGGTCCAGCAGGAGGAGGAAGAGGGGGGGAATACACTCTGCTGCCCCCCCAACCTCTTATGCCACTTTACAAGGGATGGTCCTTTAAATAGCATCCATTGTTACCCTGAGGACTGAAATAAAGTGACACAGCTCCTGTGTAATCAGATGCTCAGGTTTGGGTTGTTCTGTTTTGTTTTATTTTTTAAAATTAGATGCCCTTCATACATTATTGATTGTTCTGGGGTGGTTTTTTTTGGCACCTTTGTTTTTCCTTATGCACAACCTACACAAATCAATCTCTCTTCTCGCTACCTCAGAATGATACTTAGCATCTTTTAAAGGCTCCAAATACGCCACTGAGGTGGGGTCTTATTCAACAGTTTTTTTCAACAACATTGAATATTACTGTTTGCACATTGTTCCAAATTTTTCATCAATGTTGATATTACTGTTTGCACATTGTTGCTGAGATCTGATATGTGGATGGCTTGCCTAGTTTGACAACGTAGCTAAGAAGATCACGGCCTGATCTAATTGTTTCTTTCCAACAGTTGCCAGCCCAGGGCCTCTGAGGCGTCTACAAGCAGACCTAATGGCTTTCCTTTGTGTATGTCTCAAACATCTACTATTTGGGGTACATATTCTTGAAAATGGTATCTCACTTAGCATTTATTTCAGGTTACATTTATAACCCACTTTTCCACCAGTAAACTCATGGTTGCATATATGCCTCTGCTTCCTTTCAACTTCCTCCCTTTGTCCTCAAAACACCCCTGTGAAGTAGATCAGGATGAAAGAGAAGCTAGCTGGCTCAAGGTCATTCTGTGAGTTTCATGGCTCAGCAGGAGCTATAAACTGGATCTCCAAGTCCCAGGGTGACACTTTTGACCATTACAACCACACTGGCTTTCTGATGACCATGGTGGCTTGGTGATAGCCATTGAAAGACTTATGACTCCATAAATTTGTCAACTTGTTTTTCAGAGTCAACTGAGCAACAAACCATCACCACAATACATATATCAGCTTCATGTTGCATGGCATAATATTGCCTTTTGCATTAGACTATACTTTACATTTAGCACTTATTAATATATTGAAATTGTTCCAGTATTATGGAAGATCAGGCATATTAATGGAGCACTTTCCCCATACCATTCATAATATTCCAAAATTTGTCATATCATCCATTTTCCTACTTCCAAAATTCAGTTGAAAAGCCCACAGATTTGGCCTGTGCTCATTAGAATGATGCCCAGGATCAGTTTTCATGCTCTATTTCCACAGTTTTTCCTTTTCTACGATACTGTTTCTAATATGACATAATCAACAGTATTCCAAATTGATTGATTGACTTGGTTTTATATTCTTCTTTCTGGTTCGAAAGGGTATAGAAGGATATGGGCAAAGGAAGCCTGTGTTGAATTGTGGAGGTGAGGCGCTAGCTTGTTTACTTAATCCCAAGCACTATAGGTTTAGGATGACCAGGGCAGAAGGTGGCAGGTCGTGGAGCTCCTTTGCCAGACTTTTCAGTTGGTGGCTATTCATATTTTAAACCTCCCTGTTAGAAGCAATGCTTGTACTGTCTCCCTGCCATAGCTCCAGGATCAAGCCTATTCTGGGGTAGGGGGATTAAATGGCTTTGGATCTAGGAGATCTAAACCTAACTCAGCCTTATTCCCTAGGTGACTCTGTTTGAGGTTCTCATGCCACCTGCCACTGGCAGACATACTGCTGGGAGTATGCAGTAGGTGCTCCACATCAGTAAAGCCCTACTCTCCTTCTACTCCACTAGTATTCCGCCTCTGCACTAGCAGAGGGGCACTTCCACCATATCTCAGCCCCCTCCAGCAAAGAATAACAGGAGGTTAAGACAGCACAGTTAGCTCCCAGCAGTTCTCTTTTCAACCATTTCCCTAATAATTTCTGACACTCAGTTTGCCTTTTTCTCTGCTGCTGCACACTGAGTTGACATTTGCAGTGACCTATCCACCATGACTCTTTCTTGAGTAATCACAGCCAATTCTCACCCTATTTGTATATCTATCTCTGTGTGTGTGTGTGAAGAGAGAAAAGAGAGTGGGAGGGAGGGAAAGAAGATTGGATTATTTTTACCCCAGTGGACATCAGTACATATGCAGGGACACAGAAGAAGCCTCCTCAAAGAGTGGAAAGCATTGTGAGTACACTTGGGCATCTCCCCTGTGCAACAGACTACAGCCTTCCAATCCTTCAGTTCCAGAAATGTTGCACTGCCAAATAGCTGATACGCAAAGTGACCCAATGGTCCTTTTAGAGCCACAAATGACAATAATTTCTAACATATTAAATTGTTTTTAACTTTTACCTATATTTCATATACATTCATATTTTTAAATTGTGTGACTCTCAAAGAAAGAAAGAAAGAAAGAAAGAAAGAAAGAAAGAAAGAAAGAAAGAAAGAAAGAAAGAAAGAAAGAAAGAAAGAAAGAAAGAAAGAAAACTTGTACCAAGGGCCTGTCCACACTGTGAAATTTGGTGCAATTCAGCCAGTGCTTAAAAGATCCTTATCTTCAGTACAATGTATTTTAACTCTTGGTGCCTGTCTGTGAGGACTGAACAAAGAGCTATTTTGCATCTCAATGAATCATCCTCAAAAGATTGCATGCCCAAGCTCTGTGCCAGAAAGATACGGGGCAGATCTTAAAGGGGAAGATGGATTGTTTTAAGTAGAAATACAAGCAGTCAATGTATTTTTCCCCGTGCCAAACAGTGCTATCGGGGAACCATCTACCATTACTAAATGCCAATGTAGATAGGCTCAGAGTCTTATTTCTCATTTTGTTGCCCCTTCACATAGTTAAGAGATATCTTTTTTTCAGTTCTCAGTCTGCTTTGGTATCCATAATCAGTCATTGTGTCATCCACAAACTTGGCAACTTCACTACTCACTCCAGTTCATTTGTGAATGACACAGCTTACATTGCTCTTCTGTGAATACTGTCCATTTATTGTTGCTAGCTGCTTCCTGCTCTTTAACCACATAAAACCACTCCACTGACAGCTAGTGCAGCATCCTGTCAAACTAGGAAACCCAGACTCTCATCTCCACTCAGCCATGAAATTCATTGAAATTAGTAAAAGTTCATAGCTACTTTAAAGAAACGTTTCCCAAGTCAGGAGTATTTCAAAGTTGGGGAAGAGAGAAAAGTTAACCTGGTCCTAAAATGATAGTGTAGAGGGTGCCAGGCATGCTTCCCGGGCAAGGAACATGAGTGGGGCATCCTTGCTGAATAGGCTCTTTCCTTCAGTCCACCATTCATGTTATGGTCCAGAGGCAGCCAGAAGAGAACATCCAGTGCAGCCCTTAGCACACTGGCAGCTTGGCAGGGTCCAGTAGATAGAGGGTTCTAAGCCACAGAGAGCTTTCAGATTTAGGTATAGTGTAACAGTATTGTTGAGAGTATTGGATCAGGGGGATTAGCATTCAAGCCTGAATCACAAGACTTACTAAGTAAGGATACACTAGTCACACTCTCAGTTTGACTTGTCCTCACAGGATTATGGTGAAGACATAAACGGAAAGGGAGAATGTTACATGCACCACCTTGATCTCATTGGAGGAAAAGCATGGCATAAATTGGATGACTGACTGACTAAATGAATGAATGAATGATATTGAATTCATGGCTAGAATAAGATTTGAGTCAAGAGTTGTGATTTGTTTATTTAATTTTATTTATTTAACATGTTTTTACCCCACCTTTCTCCTTAAAAGGACCCAAGGCAGCAGTCTATTGACTGTTAGCCAGTCAATATATTGATGATCGTGGATGACAGAATGGTGAAGGATAAATAAACCAACGGCTGACTCTTACTTCACCACTGGCAATGCCTTCCATCACAGCTAGATGATGAGATATAGTTTGTGGGAAGCACTGAACATTTTCAAGCATGTCAGGTTCTTTTCTTCACCTCTGCTTCATGCCACCTCGGAAGCCTGAAGCAGTACAGTAGTCTCCCATGCCTAATGGTAGGGGCTGGCTCTGATGAGTAAATACTATTCAGAGTACTGTAACTTATTTTGTGGATATACAGCTTTTATATTTCCCAGCATGATCATTCTGTTGCTTACTGAGCCAGTCACTTTCTTTCTTGGACAATGTGTTATATAGGACTTACTCTCAAGTCTGCAGTTCTGACTGGGCCATAGTTGCAGAGACCCCTGGCCTTCTTGAAGGTATTCCAAATGTGCGCCTTTTATGTAAAAAAGAAAGAAAAGTAAATCTCTTAAATCTTTACTTGTGGAGAGATAAAGAACAACATGCAAGCAGTATGATGGTCTAGTTGCTTACTAAGAAAA